TATGACTTGTCTACAATCTAGCACCGTAGTAAGATCTGGAATATGAAGGATGGTAAAATATTTTTGATTGCTTACCACCTGCTTGAAAGAAGCATAGGTGCTTACATAGAATGGTTAGTTAATGAACTAATGATGACTGCTAATGAAATTGAATATAAGGATGCACGCTTAGTAATGCTTCCTGCAGATTCAATAAAACCATAAGCTAGATAGCCTTGCATATCCTTGGAGTCTTTTCTTTCCCTTTGATGGGTAAGTCTTGCGGAGTACAATTAAGTATTTAGGGTTTGTTCTACCCTATTACAGGTGACAGGAACATGTGGAGCTGACACTTGTGTGTGGAAATCTCCTGGTGTGCTCAATGAGTTTTCCCTTAATGTTGCGGGCAATAGAGTTTATTTGAAACTTCCACCCAAAATGTTTTACAATGGAAAAACTTATAATCTGTTATGATGTATATAACAGATCATCATGTTAATGTTTAACTTGTCATTTAATGATTTTATTTTCGCTCAAACTCTGATAACATGGTTATATTCCGCTATTATAAATAATAAATATTATACTCTGATGTTGCATGGAAAGTGATGTAAGAATTGGCTAAAATATTGTAAGCTTTATTCTCCCATTTATGATCCTATTGAAAAATGTGGATTTTCGGGTTCTCCCATGGGATGTGCTCGATGGAACCTGCGTAGTTTAGTGTCCTCCCTCGAGTACTTAGAGTCTAATGGAAGACAAGTACTCCTAGAAGGCATTAAATTAGGCGGTTCTACCACAACTGCCATCCTCTTTATGTTTCATAACGCATAAATATATTTTTTGGGTTTAGATAGGGATTAGAAACCGCCATGAGGAAAACCCCCATGAGAAGATGACATGTGGGGCCAGGTCAACCCAGGCCGGTAGGCCGACCTATCAGCCCCCTTGCACCCAGTTGATTCTCTCATGTCTTCTAGATCTTTCCTCTCCACAATCTCGCAGTTTTTCGACGCATTCGGTTTTTCGTCGTTGCGAGACCTCTAATGGATAGATCTTGACCCCTGCTGCAACTTGTTCCCCCTATATAAGCGAGCCCCTGCCTGCCTCCATAGCCATCCCATCAAAGCCTCCTCTCTCCAACAGCAGCAAAGCTCTCCTCCTCTCTAGTCCTCATGGCCAACAAAGAGATCGTCCCCTATGGTTTTGATCTAAACAAGAAGCCCGACGTGCTTGTGCTGAGTGTCGTTCTTCTAGAGATCAACCCCATTTGCTCAAGCCAGTCTTACTTCTCCCAAGCTATCCATCGTCCGGTGATCTCTCCGCCGTCGTCGCGTCCACTTGAAGGCAAGCCACGCCAACAAGAGCCTCGTCTAGATGTCTAGAAGCTAATCAAGATGATGAAGGAGATCAACCTCCTTCCTCCAAAGGGACACGAGGTGCTGACTGGAGTCAAGACCAATAAGTTTGGAGATGTTACATGTACGAAGTATAGGTCGGTCACCCCTCATACAACCATTGATGGAGTCCGGGCTTTACCGGATCAGATTAATGTTGTCCCCCTAAGGAGAAGAAGAGGAAGGCGTCATCAACACTCCCAGAGAATAAGGAGAAACACCCATGGATGACCATTGCCCTCTTGGAGAAGAAGATTGAAGATCTAAGCAATGTTGTCTATACCTTAGAACAGAGGATCGATGAAGAACACGTTTATCGCAAGAGCCTACAACAAGATTTAAATGCTTTGAATCATTTTGTTGCTAAGATGAGGAAGTGAGAATTAGGTAGTTGATAATAAGGCACGAGTGTTTAGGTCATGTGTTTGAAGATAGTATGTTAGGTTACTCCCCTAGCTCAGATTGTTAGAGTGTTGAAGTTTGTGCTAGCTAGTTAAGAGTTTGTGTTTAGTTTGTGCTTGTGTAATAAAGTGCCTTATAATATTAATAGAGTCTTATTATTATCTACTCTCTATTTCTGTTGGATATGTGTTTTGTCTCCACATGTTGTGCATAAAGGTATATAGGAAAACAAGTGTGGGGGAGACGCACCGCGACAACAAGATGGAATTTAATCACAAAAATTACGAAATTTGAAAAGTAATGGATCAAGGACCACGTCCAACAAAGCAGGCCTCGAGCAGCCCCTGGAGTAGGCCGCCTGGCCTCCTCTTTGGACTAGTCAGCCCACCATGGTGCCACCTCACCCTGAGCCTTATCCTGGGTCAGGTTTGAGCCGAATACACTCTATTTTCATATGTTTCACTTTCCATTTCGAACCGAATTGAAAATCATTTGATAATACTTTTCAGTCATGACTAAAGAATAGACTCACATAATACTTTTCCTAGAAATCTTGCTATTGTTGGAAACTTATTAGGCAACATATCAGGTGCAAACCAACCGACACTGTGTAAACTTGGAAACTACCAATTAGGACCACTAGATGCTGATCTAATGGATAGGGTGAGGGGGCTTAAGCGCAAAAAAAAGGCTGGCGGGTGGGGTGCTTAAGCGCAAAAAAATCCCACCTCTTACCCCATCCATTGGATCAGCATCTAGTGGTCCTGATCGGTAGTTTCTAAGTTTGCACGGGTTGGTTGGTTTGCACCTGATACGTTGCCAACTTATTATTAGGGACCCCATGTTACTTAAGTTATTGTGGAATGAGATATAGTAGAATAATGAGAACTTGATTCTTGATGTCTTGTTATTGGAGAATTTTATTTCAAAAAGTTAAAAGGAATAGCTACACCTCTCCTTTGTGGTAAGCAATATCCCACCAGAGCCAATATGATAGACTAGGAGAACCCTTCTACATATGCTACTTGTCATTGTACTGAGTTTGGTCAAACCTGATGACCCTTGTTGAGAAACTTATCATGCTCTCAAGATCAAGATCACACACACTCCATATATCTGCTGCTCCTACGCTAGGGTTATGCAACAACATGTTTTTCATCCAACCAAAAATGTTCTACTCCTATATTGGGAATAGACACAAAAATATGATTGTTAGGATATATGCTCCAAGTTCTTGTAAAAGTCTCTCATGAAAAGTTTCAATTGCAGAAAAAGAAGCTTGGGCTATGTAAAAGTTATTCATAAAAAAAGAGAGAAGAAAAAAAGAAAAAATGGACAAGTGTCTGAGATATCAAAAACAACGGGTACTTAGATGCCTGCCTGAAGAAAAAAAAGAGAAAGAAGATGAATAAGATAGCTCACGTTTTCTTACAAAAGTTTTCCAAGTTTCAATCAAGAGAGATATGTTTCAAGGAGCATAGTAGAATTAGGTTAGCCACCATATACATATCCACGTACATGTATATCTTGATCTAAGAGTATAACATTTTTCTCCTTGGATCCTTATTTTGACTTTACAATATATGCAATACAAGTATGTTCTCACATTTATCCCTACATGAGCTCCACATAAACTTTTTAGAAGTAGGCAAAAGGAAGGCAAAGTCAGCAATGCCTTGGTGAGGATCCAAAAATACCATATATACTGAGTGATTTGAGAGTACCACAAAAGGAGAATGTAAGCTATATTTTGTTTTCAAAATATTAAAATGTTTCTCCAATTGACTTGACTGAAAGAAGATGGTGATCTGTTTTAGTTGTTCCATTCTTCAACCGCCCAAAGTTTTATGGTAGACACTTTGAATCACGCAGTGCATGTATAACTAGAAATGATTTTATGTTGATGACTTGTCCTAAGGTTATATCTTGAGTAATCCATCATTTTTTCGAGGACGAGTAAAAGCCTAAGTGTGGGGGAGTTTGTTGATGGTAGTTAACATTCATCACAAACCCTCAATATAACTTGTATAAATGGCTAAAATGGATCACCACTTAGACTTAGGGGTTTTAACTGATAATTTTTATGAGTTTTGGTGAATCTGTGTTGTTAGCAAGATTTAATCAGAAAACTGTCAAGGAGGACCTATTCGTCAAAGGAAATCACGAAATTCCACCGCGTAAACAGCGTGGGAAGACTCTAGAAGACTCTAGAAGTCGAATCACCGAAGCGGGGCCCGAGCCACTGACATGTGGGGCCGGCCAGCCCCACCTGTAGGCTGGCTGGCCTGTGGGGTCCACCTGGCAGTCCCTCGTTGTTACGTCGGTTCTCCACCACCTTAAGGATTGCATCTCCGCCATTTATTCAAGTCGGTTTGATCCAAGGGCTTAGGATTGACGCTCCGGACTATATATATCTGCCTACACCCCCCTCCAGGGCATGGGCATTTGATCCTGAGAGCCTGAGGGCCAGAAACCCTAATTCATATTTTCACCAGGATCAGAGCTAGTAATCAAGAGAAGATTAGTCATCCATAGTATCTAGTGCTCTCTCAATGGTTTGTACCCTAGCGGAATCAAGTTCTTCTTGAGCTTGCTTCTGAGATTTCTGTGGTAATCGACTTCTAATTCAAGTAAGCATCTTGTTCATATTGTTCTTCAGGTTTGTGACTCTCTTTTGAGCACTTTAATCCTTGTAGCTCCTAGGTTAGAGTAGTATTCATAGTGTAAGTGTGGTGTTTAGACTCGGTTACTCATGAATGTACCCTATTTTTCGGATCGGTGGTAGCTCGCGAGGGTGACTCTTATAGCCTCGTTGAATCCTTTATAGTCCACCTCCCGTTAGTAGGCCTAGCAGGACCTTGTTACTATAGGAAACATACTTTGCCTGTGTTTTCTTTAGTAATTTCCCTAGAATTGAACAATAGAAGACAAAGCTTACCGAAGTTAGAACTAGAAGATCTTAGCAGTCTCCTCTACGCTCCTATTATTTAGCCTTGATTGTGAAGTTGGGTTAAGTTAGATTTGGTTATTCTCACACACGTTTTCTCGAGTTCGATATAAAACTGGGTACTCCCGGTGAAGTGCTACATCGGTATAATATCCGTGCGCTTGCGCGGATTATCTTGTGTACATTAATTTATACCAACAACGCATAAGGATGAGATAACACCACATTATATTACATTAATCAGACAAATATAATTCATTTGTTTGTTGCCAATACTAAGTGTGGATCATAAATGGCTCTACCAACAAGGAATGAATGGTATCCTTAAGGTTGTGGCAGTTTGTGAATTTGTCTTCTTGGTTGTACATGAATTCCACTATCCTCGTCAAGTTGAATATCCGGTCCAGTAGCTGCTTTGGATAGGTATTGTCTGGGTTAAGCCACTCGCTGTTAAAATCTTTCCATGAGTCCTCTTTGAGTACATGTATCTGCTCACGTGCAACTTCAATGGAGACATTGTGCTCCTTCATGTAACTATTGATTGTGGAAGCAACGTGAGGGATCAGTTGCTCCCGCTGCATGAAGTTAAATATTCAAATATATTAGTAAGATAAAGGAAAACTCGTGCCGAGCAATATCCTAATACTACTAAAATGGTTTCTCAGAGGCATCATTTATTTACAACATTGTCGGTTAGAAATTGCTGCAGCTGGCACAGTAAGCTAGAGTGGACCATGGCAAAAAATCCACCAATTGTTGCTTACTTGCTTATGATTACCATGCTGTAAATATGGGTATTTTCACTAGCTATAGGCTTATCTTAGTCACCACTATAGATGCATTTTTACTAGTGGTCCTCTTAAGCACCCATAAAAGGAAATGCCACACTATATCTTCTTCCTCCATGTGCTATAGCATTCAAACTAAGCACACTATATTTTTTGCGAGGTTTTTGAGGATAAAAATTGCCAAAATATAAGGGGATGTTTTGATCTTTATTTCCTTGAAGAGATGGCTCTAAAAGGTAATGATTCTGCTATTTCTATGTCCTTTAAGAGTTTGCTTGGCTTAACTATAGCTAGGATTCATGGTTGATGCGCTGATGGGAGCGCATGCATGGTGTTTTAGGCATTAAAGACATCATATTAGTTAAAGTTTGTGACCAATATTACTTCTATTGAGTAGCTTCACATGTTTCTCCTCTCCCATTATATATATATATATATATATATCCATTTTAATGCTTAAGAAGATGACCATGAATGGAGATTTTCTTTTTTCATCTAGATCTAGATGGTGGAATATTGTTTTTTTTCCTATTAGGAACCATATGATTCCACATATTTTCTGTAGGCGAGTGACGTAACCATGCCACCAGGCTGTTGAAATAACTCCAGTGTAATTTGCTTGTCAGAAAATACCCTCTCTATCGCTTCATTGCATAAAGCAATGTTATATGACAAATATCAAAGTCAAATTCCAAACTAAAATATGGGAGATCCTGCTATTAGGCTTCAAATATTATCATATTTTAAGGTGTAAAGAATGAGGAATATTACCTCATATGATTGGAGGTCATCTACTAGTCTGAGAATCACGGAAAGTGCTTGGACCATTTTAGGTTCACTAGAGACCCAATGAAAGCAATCCTCTGTTGCTATATCATGCATCCCGACAAAGGAAGCACATGAAAAAATGGGACTTCCGACAGTTCTGATTGAAACCTTCAGATGCTCTTCAACAGACTTTGGAATGTATCCTTCTTGAAGCATTTTTACCTCTATGTTGAAGCTTCTAACCAGGTCATCTGTCTGTGAATCGGAGATAGTGAACATATGCATTTCACACATATCAGAAAGATAGATCGAGTATGTGTTTATATAGCAAGCACCACTGCAGACGCCCTCTTTGCCGAGTGCTGGGGGCACTCGGCAAAGCCAGCCAAGCACTCGGCAAATGCTTTGCCGAGTGCCGCACTCGGCAAAGGTCTCTCGGCAAAGATTTTATCGGCAAAAATTTCTTTGCCGAGTACCAAAAATCGACACTCGGCAAAGTCTTTGCCGAGTGCCAAGCCCACACTCAGGAAAAAAATAACTGCCGTCAACATTTGACGCCGGCTTTGCCGAGTGCCTAGGGACTGGCACTCGGCAAAATTTGAATTTTTGCTGAGAGCCAGGGCTCAGCACTCGGCAAAGAAACCATTTTTTTAAAAAAAAAATCTTTTTAAAAAAAATGCATGTGATATCTAATATAAAATGTGATGATGTCCTGATTTGTGAACACCATACGTGATGACGTCCTCCAAACGTTTTCAAATTTTTACCACCGCATATGCATGTGATATCACGACATCTCGCCAAGTTTTATGATTTTCGGGATTCGTTTGAATTTTATAGAATTAAATAACCACTTGCACGCAAGTTCGCGACGTTGCCCCGTGAGCACGTTGATCGAAATTTGGAGACAGTTCCTAGATTTAGCATAAAGTGACACTAACAAACAAGAATAACATTTTTGGAATGGATCAAAACTATTATTCGATGCACCTGCAGTTCAAACCTATATTTTCCGGAAAATTGCAAGAAAACGAAATAAAGTGAAGAAATATAGCAAACAGCAATGAAATTGTGCCAAATTTGAACATGTTGTTCATGGTACAAATACAAATCTAAGAAAAAAAGTTGGTGGCAAAAAACAAAACAAAAAAATTATTTTGCCGAGTGCCAAGGTTGGGCACTCGGCAAAGTGAATATTTTGCGAGTGCTAACCCTAGGCACTCGGTAAAGCCAATATTTTGCCGAGTGCCAAACAGAAGGCACTCGACAAAGAGGACGGCGTTGGGTACCGTTATCCCCGGGCGCCTCTTTGCCGAGTGCCCAACTTTGCCGAGTGTCTGGCACTGGGCAAAGTTTAGCTTTGCCGAGTGCCTTATTTTGCCGAGTGCCAGACACTCGGCAAAGCCCTATTTGCCGAGTGCCAAGTTTCGCCGAGTGCGGCACTCGGCAAAGGTAGCCTTTGCCGAGTGCGGCACTCGGCAAAGGTGGCCTTTGCCGAGTGCCCGATATTTGGCACTCGGCAAAGATTTGAGCACTGGACAAAGCCTCGGTTTCCTGTAGTGAAGGACCCTAGATAAATAAATATACCTTATATTTCCCGGATAATCATTCAGATTGAGACATAAAAAAGTTGAAATATGCAGATGAGGGAGGTAACTTACGAAATATCTTAGATATGGCATGCGATATTTCTCCTCCGGCTGGAGCAAATTTTCAATGGTTTCGTAGCTGTCCAATATTTTCTCCAAAGCAAATTTCATGCACTCTGGGAGGTCATGAGCTCCCTTTGAATCCCAACTAGATATGGTAGTTCACGAAAATTTGTGAGTTCTATATGATCAAAATGACATAAAAATGTCACTACATATATATAAATGTAAACTTTTCAACGTTAAACGCACTCACTAATGCAAAACAATTTCGCGACACTAGACTTTGTTTATATATGTTAGCTTGCCTTTAGAAATAGATTTACAAGGACAAATCTCTTAAGAATATGCTTCTATAAATATAATGTGGCTATTTCTGGAGTGTGTATTCTGCCTTTGAAAATAGCTATTACACAAAAAACCTATAGCCTTTTCATATAAAGTCCGATAAAGATAAACTTATATCAAAATAGTTGATCTCAATTATATTTGAGTTCAACTTCGCAAGTTGCAACACTTTCTCATGCACCGTAGCATCTTTCTCATACGTTGAGATGTAATACTTTGACTCATAAATTCTAACTCTTCTAGGGAGGGGGATCTCAAGTGCAGATTTGATTTCATGTGCTAATGACCCTTCCATGTACGGTATCATTGTTTCTAAACGTCTTCGGCCGAATAGTATGGCTTCCTCAAGTATTACCTCTCCATGGGTCCTCATATGTGCTGCATTATAAAAGTTCAGTAGGTCTTTAGGACTGTCCACTAGAAAGCCTCCTTCGTCATCTTTGAACCTCACAAACACATCTGAAATATGACACATTTTTCAGCTTGAATTTCAATAAGTAAAAGAAAGTACTCCCTCCATTCCAAATTATAAAAATATATTTTGCCTTTTCTAAATACATTGATTTTACAGTATACTTAGACATGGTGTATATCTATCTAAGTGTATAGCAAAAGCTAAATATCTAGAAAAATCAAAATATATATCTTATTATAATTGGAATGGAGGAGCACAATACATATGCTTTATTTTAAGATTTGGTAATGCAATGATTAGTTGCGGTGTACTTTGTCCCAAAATAAATGTCGTTCTCACTTCCCGAGGTATAAACCGCTTTTAATTTTAACTAAATATATATAAGAAAATATTAATCTTTATAGTACGTAATTAGTATTATTAGATAGGTCATTGAATCTATTTTTATAATAAACTTATTTAAAGATATAAATGTTGTTAATATTTTCTATAGATCTAATCAAACTTAAAAATTTGACCGCACGAATACCATAGCGACACTTATTTTTAGGATTTTGGGATGGAGAGTATGTTCATGTTGCTACCTGGCGAGACCGTGTATCGATGTTTCCGAAGTAGACAAAACCACAGGGCAACCGTTCCAAGATCACAGTCACTGACATCAGCAGTCTCAACCTGTGCTAGTACAGCACTGATCTCTTTGTTCGAACAGGTGATCCAAGCATAGACGCTCCAATGCATCGATGAGGTGCAGCCTACTAGCAGTGGTAGTTGAACTTGCTATCATTTCGGCCACTTCTTCCCTGAGTTTGTCCGCTCGTTCTTCCATCTGAATCTGCTAAAAATAGTGCAACACGAATATAATTATCATTCCATTAGAAGAAAAATCTAAGAATCTATCACATCATTAATAAGTTTCTTATATAGGTATAGAATAAGAAAAGGAAAAACATCTATAAATGAGCAGACCTGTTGTGGCAATGAATTAGGTGCTGCTGGGTTGGAGTAGCCGAGGAAGAAATCTCCCCAGATAGATGGCTGGAAAATGCCGGCGTTCTGCCTCAGGCGGCTGTCACCTTGGTCGTCAAGGTCATCATGCCGTGTTCCTGCGGCGGAATAACCCTGTTGCGACCGGCGGCATTGCAACTGCCTGCTGTGGTGCCGCCATGAAATGCCTGGCCATTGTTGTTGCCTGAGCGGCGGTGATGCCGCAGCAGCAGAGATATAGCTGCAGGTCCTCATGCTGCTGCTGCACTCTTGTGGTTTCTAGGAGAAGCTGCTGGGCTATATATGTATATATATAGGGGGAGAAATTTTACTGCTGCTGTGCACATCTCCACAGATTACATATATTTTTCTTACTTGCACTCAAAGTATATACATAAATATATGTCTAATCGTATCTAAGGACCTTACTAGTCTCCGCCTGCGCATGCTCCACAAATTACGCCCGCACACCTTCCTCGCCTTATCTTCTTTCTACTAAGCATGCGCAACCGCCACCTCCTCGCCCGCCCGGCTCTGGCGACCGAGCCTCCTCTCGCGCTCGCCCCCGCCGCCTCCTCCCACGCGCCTCTGGATCTGGCTCGGCGCCCTCGTCCTCGCCCTCACCCCCGCCGCCACCACCTCCCACGGCCGGCGAGACCGTACCGCCGGCGGCGACCACCTTCTTCCCCTTCCCCCTCCCCCCACCCCCCCGCCCCGCCCGCAGCGGCGATGGCGAACTCCGGCGAGCTTCGTGAAGTCCAGCCATGGCGCCCCCGCCCCGACCTGGTTCGGCCGCCACGACCGCCGCCTGATCCCCAAAACCGTCCGTCGACCATCCCCACCGCCGGGCCTACCTGCCTCCCCCGGCCGGCCGGCCATTCTATACCAGCCGGAGTTGTTTCTTCTCCCTCTCCGGCGACCTCCGTCTCCTGCCGGAACCCGCCGCCACCGGAGCTGGGGAAGAGAGAGGGCGGGCGCGGACGCAGGCAAGCGAATCAGGCGCTGGCGGCAAGCGCAGGCGGTGCCTTCTTCATCGGCCTCGGCGTCCACACACATTGGACGAGCTTCCTTCATTCCCGCGCGCATCGGATGGCCACACGGGTGTGCGCGCCGAGCGTCGCGAGCACACGCTCAGAAACAAGCATTTCCGCACATATATTTATGTTTTTGTCCATTTCCACCTTACTTGACCCCCTGTACCCGACAAACTCGCTCACACTAGCTGGAATCAGGTTTTCCTTACTCGCACACACAACATGTCTGATCAACTCCCTCCATCCTAGGGTGGATGTAATTCTAGAACTCATTTATTATCTAAAAAATGTAATTCTACCTTCTTAAGTAGGTGTGGTAATATAAAAAGTGTGTTGTATAGATGCATATGTCGCAATAAAGTATAGAGTTTATAGATGCCATCATTTATTTTTGTCCTATCAACATATACAGAGATAAAAAGAGTAAAGATAATACATGCTTCGTTCTTCGTGAATTGTAAGGCGTCCATGTGCCTTGTTCTTTCCAAGCAGTGCTATATTGATTCCAAATAACTACTCTCTTCATTCTAAAGTATAACAAACTTTTATTTTTCTATATATATATATATATATATATTGTTATGCACTTAGATATACACTATATCTAGGTATATAACTAAAATAATATATTTTATAATTTAGAATGCAGGAAATACATCTTTCTAAGTGTTTGATTCGTTCTCATGTAACATGATTGAAAATGGAATCTAACTCACTGAGGTTTAATTGGTGGGGTCATTGATTGTAGACTTCGCTTGGTTGGACATGGTGACGGGACCGCGGAAAGACATCAGCGACGTAATGAGCTATGTGTCTTTGATCATCTCATCTAAACTTTAGAGCTCTAAAATTTAGAAGTAAAGCTCTAATATTAGCTCTAAATTTTAGTCACCTCACATTAGAGCTTTATACCTTAAATGTGCGCTAAAATGCTCTAAAATTTTTAGAGCTCTAAAGTTTAGAGCAGGGAATCTAAGGATAGAAGAGGGACAACATTAGTGATGAATAGAACGCTATCTAGATATAATACTATATTATTTTTTGCTATGCACTTAGTTAGATATATATTATATCTAGATGCATAATAAAAACAATGTATCTTAAAAAAAAGTCAAAACTTCATATAATTTAATTTCCATAATAACAGCCACATAAAACACATGCAATTGTATCGTTATCTGAGTCCTTAAAGTAATCCGATTTGGTTACGAAACCTCTTTATTGGGCCTGACTTTCGTGCTCTCGAGAGGCCTCACATTTGGTTACGAAACCTCTTTATTGGGCCTGACTTTCGTAATCTCGAGAGGCCTCACACTCACACTCACACTCACACTCACACCCATCCCATCACTGTCCCACGTGATTTTAGCCTCTTCTAGTGTGTACTAGGTCTAGGTTGCGTGGACAACGAGCGTTGGAGAATGAAGCTGTAGCCAATCGTCCTCCGCACAACTAGATCCCTATCGGGCATGACTAGCGCTGGAAATGGATGTTTACCTAACCATCTTCAGCACGTGGCTGGTTCGTTTTGTTGCTGATTCGTGAAGAAGTACTGCTGATTGGTTTGTGTGAAAGACAAATACTGTTCCAGCTGGAAATTTTTTATCGTTTACGACACGCCACAGTCAAACGAACAAGCTGCATCCGACAAAACTTAAAAATAGATGTATCTTTGTCCTAACTTTTCTCTATCCGATTCCATACGCATTTGAACAATTATAGAATATCCGACCACTATGTTTATCCGTCTGGAAGATGCACATAATGAGAATAATGAAAAGTTGTTTTCATGATCAGAGACTAATGATATCGGTTCTAGTATTACTAATAATATATGCTTTGAAACTATTTAAAGTTATCTATATATATGAAAAATGGTAATGACTAATGATATCAAACTTTAATGTTGTTGTGATTTAGCTTCAACCTTATATATTTGTTATTTTAAATTATATATAATTCATTATTTTTGTTGTCAAATAAAATTTTTATATACTTTAAATAATTCTATATATTTATTGTGTATTTGTGCGTACCGTAGATTCGTCAAGAAATCTAACATCTGATCGAACTACTCCTTCCGTACTAAGGGCCCCCAAAAGCTCAAAGCCCAAACAAACTGCCAGCTTCCAGGATCAACTTTTCAAAACAAAAGCCCACAAAAAACCAACCTTACACAGAAAGCTTCAAGGCTCATTTGGAGTGGCTTCACCAGCTTTGGACCCGAAATTACATGTCTGCCACCGCCAAGTAAGGATGTAGCACGGGTCGGGTTCGGATCGGGTGGAGTCTCCGTGCACCCAAAACCGAAACCAAATCAAAACCCGAATCCGCCCGAAAACCGATTCGGTGGAAATCCATAAC